TTACGAAATATTTTAACAGACTATATAAACAAGCTAGAGACTTAAAAAAAAGAAAAATTATTCAAATACATGGGTGCAAAGTGGCAATATATTTGTTAGGGTGACAGATAATAGTCCGATTATAAAGCTTCTTTCCGAGACTAGTTTAAATGTTCAATAATACTTATATATATAATAGTTATAGATTGCCAACAAAAACCCATGTTAAAACAAATATATATAACATACGTGATGTACATTTTGATGATTTGAATTCCCTAAAAATCATGTATTTAAATGCGAGAAGCTTATAGAATAAGCTAGATGATTTAAACTATATGTTAGATACTAAAATCGACTGTCCATATATCAGTTGTGTCTGAAACTTGGTTTATTGACAGCAAAGAAAATGGTACGAAAAAACCAAAGGATGATCCCATAAAAATGAGAAACTACTACGGTTTCTTCTCAAGCAGAACGTCTAGAAGAGGGGGTGGAGTTTGTTAATTATTGTGACGAAATCAATAGTTTATTAAGTATTACATTGAGTCATAATAAACAAAATATAAACATTACAGCAGTGTATAGGCCACCAATTCTTGTTGCAAACCAAGTTAATATGTATACAACACTAGTGTGCCTTACACTACTGTATAGTTTCAACTTATCAATGTACATACAATTATTAGTTATTCGTTAGTTTTTAAGGCTTAATTGTATTAAACAACAAAAAATTGTATTAGATTGATAAAATAAAAATAAAAAAAAAAAAAATGTTTCTTACAAAACTAGAATCTCATCTAGAAAGTCTAAAATCAATTAAATCAATTATTGTAGGAGATTTTAACCTGAACACATTCAATACTTACGATAATAATGTAAAAAATTACAAAACGATTGTTGAGTCTAATGGTTTTGCGTTTTGCCACAAAAATGTAACTCGACCAATTTCCCAAAGTTGTATTGATCATATCCTAAGTAATGATCTGAATAACGACATCAATTTATCCATGTTTCACCATGATGTCTCTGACATATACCGTCTTCTTTTTATCCTCTTCCCTGATTAATATTTGATGGTAACCCTTAGCTAAATCTAGTGTAGTGAAATATTGCGCTCTTCCCAATTTATCTAAAATTGAGTCAATATTTGGTAATGGGTACTTATCATCGATCGTTATTTCATTAAGTCTCCTATAATCTATCACTATTCTAAATTTCTTTTTTCCAGAGTTATCTGATTTCTTGGGAACCACTATCAATGAACTGGAATACTTTGAATTGCTTTTTCTTATGATTCCCTGTTCCTCTATTTCCCTAATTTGTTTTCTAACTTCCTCCTCGTGTTGAGGTGGATATCTATACAATTTAGCGTTAATTTGTTGCTCTGTCATTTTGACTATTTCATGCTCTACTACTGGAGTACTAGTTAGTACATCCCCCTCTTTAAAGAATATACCATTAAATCTTTTAATAATTTTTTCTATCTCCCTATATTCCTCCAAATTTAAGTGATCTAACTTTAATAATTTAATGATGTTTCTTTCTACTGTCTCTAACATGCAAATATCATTCATTAGATATGGTGTATCTAAATCTATAATAATTGTTTGTAAATTTTTCAATAAATTATTTCCTATTATGACTTTATATTTCCTAAAGGTGCTCCAAATTCTACAGGTGCAATTGTGTGTATTTCCTGATTAATTGAATCCCTACCATTAATTGTTGAGAAATAAATTGGTTCTATATCTTTTTCTTTAAAACCTACAATGCTATCATCTATAATACTCATTGTTGATCCTGTATCTATTAAAGCTAAAAATGTTCTTGTTTCGATTGTAATCTTTGAAGATTTTATATTTAAATATACGAAGTTTAAAGTACAAAATGGACGAAATAACTTACCTTTTAGATGAATTACAGTCGCCAGTACATTGAATTATGTTTACAGAAACCTGGATTTTAGAGCAAGACATTGATTTAATAAATTTAGCTTCTTACAACAAAATATTTTCTTGTCGTAAAACTAGAAGGGGCGGTGGTGTTGGTCTCTTCATTCATAATTCGGTAAAGCATGTATTACAAAAAAACTACTGCGATGATTACAATAGCATAATTTCAATAAAAATCATATCTACGGATGCAAACATTGATATTTCCACTGTTTATAGGCCACCAAACTTTTTTGCTGTATTTGATCAACATTTAAGTGAATTAGATAGAAATAATGCACTGGTAATAGGTGATTTTAACTTCAACTTAAACAATATAAATGATAATTACACTAATAATTACAAAAACATTGTTGAGGGAATTGGCTTTTACTTTTGCGACAATACAACTACTAGACCTGCTTCTAATTCTTGTTTAGATCACATAATTACAAATAAATTAAACACAAAAATAGGAATAACACATTTAAATTCTAATATAAGCAACCACAATATATTAATTATAGAAGTACAAAATAATAAATTTACAAATAATAATAGAGTTGTAAGCAGGTTAAGTAAAACTAATGTCAATTCAGTTAAACATCATCTGTCAACTTCTCAGGTGTTGCCGTTACAATATATAAAAATATAGTGGATACAATACATGAATGTAGTGCTAGATCAACTACAACAAGGATATCAAATGACAAAATAATATACTGTAAACCGTGGATAGATCGTGAATGTATGGAGATTATAAAAATAAGAAATTATTGGTACAATAAACACGTAAATAATTTAGAAATAAGTTATTTTCAACAAAAATATCACTACTGGCGTAACAAATTAACTTCTGTCAAGAGGAAAAAACGTATGGAATATGATTCCAGAAAATTTAATGAATGTTCCCATAGCCTAAAAAAAGCTTGGGATCTTGTCAAAGATATTGTAACTGATGGTTGCTATAAATCAAAAAATAATGACTTTTTATGAGTCTAGTTGTGAAGAAAATAAAAAGATTGCAAAATTGAATGATTTTAACAAGTTTTATTGCAAAGTTGGCGAGAGTTTAGCTAAGAAATTTCATGTTATCTACTGGCCCGTTCTTGAAACTGTTAGTAGATTCTCATTTACAAGAATTAGTACCAACGAAACAGTAAAACTTATCGATGGTTTGTCTAATGGGCATAGCTCTGGCGCTGACCACATAGATCCGTCATTAATAAAATTATGTAAGGACAACCTCGCCGGGCCCATCTCACAGCTAATCAACGCGTCGTTGGAGCAAGGTAATTTTCCTAACGCAATGAAAGTTAGCAAAATTGTGCCAATTTATAAAAAAACGGGGGACAAGGATGACCTAAACAACTTTCGACCAATATCTGTTGGTTCAGCAATCAACTGACTTCTATGACTGAATGCATACTTCTAACAGCGTGATCTTCTATCTAAATGGCAATATGGCTTTGTCAAAAATTCGAGTATAAACGCAGCCTTGTAGCTCACATCCAAAAAGGTATAACTTCTGGTAGCAGAGTTGCTCTTGTTTTCTTCGATATCACCAAGGCATTCGACTGTGTTGACCGAAAAATCCTGCTAAGAAAACTATTTGAACTCGGTATTGTGGGCAATGAGTATGTGTGGTTCAAGAACTACTTTCATTACCGAAGATAATATGCAGAATGTGAAGGCCTAAAGAGTGACGAAAATGATATTGACTACGGAGTTATACAGAGCAGCGCCTTGGGGCCGATACTGTTTACTCGCTATATCAATAGTTTGTCGAAGTTACAATTAAAAGGTAAGGCGTTTATATATGCTGAAGATTTAGTTGTAATCTACACTGAAAACAACACTAAACTCATCGAAACCGAAGCCAACCACTACATGCTGCTACTTTATGATTGGATGAAACGCCACAAATTGACGATAAACATAACAAAATCGAAGTACATGCTAATAAAAGAAAAAAATGTTGGTTTAAATATTACTTATAATAATAGTCAAATCGACAGAGTTGTTTCATTCAAATATCATATTATAATTGATGACGAGCTATCTTGGAATCAACATGTCGAAAGTTTGGCTAAAAAGACGGAAAGGATTGCTGGTGTCTTTAGGAAAATATCTAGCAGGGTTCCTGAGAGGCTGAAGATTTCTGTTTACCATAGCCTTTTCCACAGTGTTATTACTTATGGAATTTTAGTATGGGGTAACACATTTTTGAAAAGTTTAGAGGTTCTTCAGCGAATCCAAAATAAAGCCATCAAAAATCTCTTCGGTTACCACTATAGAACGTCAACTAACTTAATTCATAAAACACACAATCTTCTAAAATTAATGGACTCTAAAGAGCTAGCTCAAACAATGCATATTCAAAAAATACTAAACAAAAATATAAAATCCAATACGCAGCTTGTCCTCAACAGCAATTTTCATAATTATAGTACCAGAACGGCAACTCACATGCGCAGTCATTCAGTGAATAATCTAAATGGACTTGAGCCAGTCATTAACTCAGCTGTCAAATCTTACAATAGATTGCCAGCAACACTAAAAAAATCTTCAATAGGAGTATTGAAAAATGCTTTGAAAAAACAATACTTAGAAAAATATTAATTATGTCATTGTCACTTATTGTAAATATCTTTAAAATCAATTAATCTTTTGTTTTTTTCTAAATATTTAAGTATTTGATTTTTTTTTTTTGAATTCTGTTTAGTTTTTTAATTTTTAATTTTTACTTTTTACAATTTGAATCTTTATTTTTACGTCTTTAATTTAATTGTTTAATTTTTTATTACATTAATTTTAATCTTTTTATATTACTTATAATGTAGTTATGTTATCTTTTTTATATTCTTTTTTCGAATGTTGAATGGTTTATCCTGCGATATTATTATATTGTCAATTTAGCCTAATTTTTACTAAAAACATTTGTAAATTTCTGAATTATATACTCTATTCGAGCTTAAAGCTCTTTTGAGAAATTATTGAAATAAATAAAAATAAATAAAAAATAATATTAATTATGGGTAAACTGTCCGAGGGTAGTTCATAAAAAACTCTACATTATTTACTTGTTCAGTCTTGTCTCTTTCTGTTTTCTACTTCCATAGGTTCATTTTGTGTTGGTCTATCATAATTCCGGTGATGTGTTTGGCGATATTGGCCCGAATTACGCGTAAACCCGTAGTTATTATAATTATTACCTACCTGATTATTATTGTAGTTCCTTATTTGTCCCGAATTAGGATCTGTATTATTACTGTATTGATAACCTCTATTAAAATAATTTCTGTCATAATTATTCCTAGGGAAATTCCATTGATGACTATGGCGATTTTGGTCCGAATCAGAGAAATTATTATCAATTCTTTACTCATTACTACTTTTATTCCGTTTAAAACTATGACTTGCTTGTACGTTATTATATTCTTTGATTCTATTATTATTATTGTGCCTAAAACTGGTGCTCCTATTAAAAGTTTTGCTAAATTCATGTCTAATACATGAATCCTTAAAAAATTTACTCCTCATTATTTTTCCTAAATCAGCTTTGTCATAAATTTTGTCTAACATTACCGCTTGGGTCATTTCTTTTATTATATTAACTATTATTTGGTCTACATAGCTTGAATCTATATTTTTATTATCCTTGTAATATATTTTAATTTCATCACTTTTATATTTAATGTCTTGAATTAATTCTACTAACTCACTTACCGAGTTGGCCTTCATGTTATTCCTATTTAATATAATCCTATTGTATAGTTGTGTTGGTTCTATATCAAGACGATATTGTTTTAAGTACTGTTTTTATGTTGTTCCAATTTTCTGGATCAGGGACGTTCGTTATTTTATCTCTTTCGCTTGTCCCTGTATTTTCTCGTGGTAAATCATCCTAGTTATTGCTTTTTTTTATCCCTGGATCCTGTGTGGTGCTTAGTTGATACTCCACACTTGATACAAATGAATTTATGCGGACAGCATTCTGTCGAGTAAATATTGACATATTGGTTGGTGTTGAACAGCCATATTATTACTGTTGTTAAAGTTATTATTGCTGTTGTTATTATTATTGTTTCTACGCATGGTTTCACCTTAGTATTTTAATTAATTGCTCTTGCTTGAGACTTTCGTATACTGAAATAAGTATGTGTATTTTATTATTCAATAAATGGGGGGGGCACCCTGGCCCAGGAGGGATGACTGGCAACGATCCCGTCTAGTCTTCACGATGGGCAGGATTAGATGGGCTGTTTTCTCTTTCAGGCCCTTCAAATCTCCAGGTGATGACGGGATATATCCTGCATTTTTGCAGAGGGGTTTCCAACATATCGCTAGAGCACTGTTGGGAATTTTTCGCGCCAGCTATGCGTGGGGTTACATCCCTCAGGCATGGAGGGTGGCTAAAGTGACGTATATTCCGAAGGTGGGTAAGCGACCAAGCAACCACCCAAGGTCTTTCCGTCCAATCAGCCTTACTTCTTTTCTATTGAAAGCAATGGAAAAAGTGATTGATAGATTTATACGGGACGGTGCACTGGGAAGCAATCCCTTGCATGAATCTCAATACGCCTATCAGTCGGGAAGGTCTACTGTACTCGCTCTGCAGAGTCTGGTGGGGGTCCTTGAAAACTCACTGGAGGTGCGGGAGGTAGCAGTTGGCTGCTTCCTTGATATAGAGGGAGCTTTTGACAACACCCCATATCATGTCATCTGTGAGTCGTTGCACAAACGAGGGATTGATGCGACGACTAGCAGATGGGTCAATCGGATGCTACAGGATAGGATTATTAAGTCCACCATAGCTGACGATATACTCTTCATCTCCGCTGCAAAAGGATGTCCGCAGGGCGGGGTTCTTTCGCCCCTCCTGTGGTCGATTGTAGTGGATGATCTAATAGCTGCTCTCAGGGGCTCCGGGGCGCGTGTCTGGGGATACGCTGACGATGTGGCCTTCGTCGTGCGGGGAAAATTTGAGAGCACTATTTCTGATCTTCTACAGCAAAATTTACGTGTTGTGGAAAGGTGGTGCAAAGGCGTTGAGTTAAATATAAATCCAAGCAAGAGCACTTTGGTCGCCTTCACCAGACGCAGAAGCAGGGACAGATTAACGAGCCCAATTCTGTTTGGTGAACGTATTAGTTACTCGAGGGAGGTGAAGTATCTGGGGGTAACCCTGGATGATCGTCTCTCTTGGAATACCCATATCGATAGAGTTATCGGGAGAGCTACGGCGGCCTTGTGGACGTGTAGGAGTTTCATCGGGGGGACCTGGGGAATTAGTCCCAGAATAGCACTGTGGCTATATACGGCCCTTGCTAGGCCCATCGTCACCTATGCGTCGATTGTATGGTGCCGTAAGGCTCAGCAGCCGGGTGTGCGGGCCAAGCTGGAAAAGCTACAGAGGCTGGCCTGCCTGGGAGTGACCGGGGCGATGCGGACGGCTCCCACCGCTGCATTGGAGGTGATGATCGGATTGCCGCCACTGCACCTCCATATATTGAAGGAAGCTCGGCTGGTGACTTACCGACTTCTCTCTGGCGAGGACGGGGCAGGGCTAAAGTTGGCCCACAGAACTCACAGAGACTTCATTGAGGGCGATCCGATTCTAAGGATAACCATGTCAGATACCTGTCTGCCGCGGTACAACTTCGACCACAAGTACAGGGTTCTGTTTCCTGATCGATGGACGTGGGATCGGGGTGGTCCGGTACTTAGGTCGGGTTCGAGCGTGTGGTATGCGGACGGGTCCAAAACGGAGTCGGGGGTGGGCTCGGGCGTATACGGTGTCCGCCCGGACACGCGTGTATATGCAACCCTTGACCCGTATTGCACAGTGTTCCAGGCCGAAATACATGCAATAGAAATCTGTGTGAGAATCCATTTGGAAAGGGGGTATAGAAACCGCACCATCTATGTGTTCTCAGACAGCAGGGCTGCACTGCTGGCGCTCCGTTCAGCTCAGGTTACATCCAAGCTGGTCTGGAGCTGCCTTGCTGCACTTATGGAATTGGCATCGGAAAACAGAGTGATGCTCATTTGGGTGCCGGGCCATAGTGGCCATGCGGGCAACGAAGTTGCCGATGAGTTGGCGCGGAGGGGATCTGGGGCTGCCTTTGTGCAGCCGCTGCCTTTCTGTGGTCTGCCTTCTTCTGCCGTGGGGGCCAGGCTTGCCTGCCTACTCGCGGCGGAATGCAGTCGTCACTGGCGGGACACGAAGGGGTGCCGTCATGCGAAGGTGTTTGTTCCGGCGTGCTCCGGCGGATTCGCTGCGGAGTTGCTGGGGATGAGCAGGAGCCGGGTTCGCACTATTGCGAATTTCTTCACGGGGCACTGCCCGGTGAAATACCACCTGCACAGGCTGGGGAAGTCGGGCTCCCCCCTGTGCAGATTTTGTGGGGGTGGCGATGAGACCGCCGTGCACATTCTCTGCGACTGTCCGGCACTGGCTGTTCGGCGCCGCAATTGTCTTGGACATGGGTCCCTAAGTGTTCGGGAACTATTGTCCAACTCCCTTAGGGATATCGCCGGCTTTGTGATTGGGACGGGGATATTATAGACGGGAGAGTGGGGTGGCTACAATAAGTCAAAAATGGCTGCGGTGGCTTGGGGGGATGCTCCTGTCCCACTCGGTTCCCTTAGAATCTACGAATCTACGAAATATTGACATATAATTTATTTGCCTAGCTGCAAAGTCTAACTGCCTATAATTATTTTGTACATTTTGGGCATGGAGTTCTTGCATGGCTGTGGTTTCTATCCGTTTATTTTGTTTTAACACTTGTTGTTGTACTCGTAATTGTTATGCCATTATATAACTTCGGTTTATATCAAATTTGTTTATATTCATTAAATGTGTCCGTTAATTAAAAAATATATTTTTTTTTTTAATTAAATTATTATTGTCACCTGTGTAAGCTTGTATCTACGAATTAATTTTATTCTAGGTTGACCACTTTATAATGTCAATAATTTATATAGATATACAGTGGAGTCCGCTTATAGTCACACAAAAAATTTCATAAAAATGTGTGACTATAAGCATCATATGCCTATAAGCGTCAGTAGAAAAAAAAATTTATAAATAAAACTCAAAACTTTATTTTTTTTTAAATTTAATTTTAAATTAAATACTTATATGATTATGTACATAAATAAAAAACCCATTTACTTTACGCAAAGAAAAACAAAAACAAAAAATTCATATACATACTTACATATGTAGTACGTATGTTAAAACAAAACAATATTCAAAAAATTCTTTAAGGGATCAAATCTAACGTCTACATGTACATATCACATAACATCACACATAATTTTATTAAGTTTCTCAATTGAAAAAGTCCATTATTTTGGTTTGCTTTGTTTCAATTAAAAGATCTAAAAGTTTGTTTTCTACATCATCAATTAAATTTGTACTTTCACCGTGCTGCTCGAAATAGAGTTGTATTGTATCCAAAGCGACAAGGGCTTCCTTTTTAGTCACATTACGAACTGGTTTTTCTTTTTCTACTTCCTCTTTTGAGTTATCATTTAGCTCCGTTAGAGTAATTTCATTTAAAATTTCATCATCATTCATTTCTCCAAAACATTGCTCATTTTTATCGAAATCAATAAAAAATTCAAAATCGGTTTCGGTTACATCAGCAAGAACATTGATAACAATATTTTGCTCTACCTCTTGTTCTATTATATCTGGTTGGAAACCACATTTTTTAAAACAATTCGCTATGGCAGCTGGTTTTACCAACCACCATGCCTTTTTAATCCAGTGTAATGCTTTCAAAATATTTATTGATTTTGAAAATTCTTCCAATGATTTATTTTTTTCTACAGCTGCTAGCTGCTTTCTCAATATATCCTGCCTGTAATATGCTTTAAAAGATCTAATAATTCCAGCATCAAGTGGCTGAATTAAACTGGTTGTATTAGCTGGCAGAAAAATTATTTTAATATTTTTTAATTGCACGTTATCAATAATTTTATGGCAGGCTGCATTATCCACAATCAAACAAATTTTACGTTTTTGGTTTTCCATGTTATCGTCTAGTTCTTTTAATATACATGTCCATATCTTGCTTGTCGTCCAAGCTTTATTATTTGCATAATACGGCAGAGGTATTTTTTTCCCTCGTAGACACCGAGGCTTATTGGATTTCCCAATAACAAATGAATATTTTTCTGAACCACTCATGTTAACAATAAACAATAGTGTAAGACGATTTTTATGATTCTTACCTCCATAAATACAATCCTTTTTAAAGGACATACTTCCAGAAGGAATGGCTTTGTAAAACAAAGCTGTTTCGTCTGCGTTAAAAATGTTTTTAGTTTCATACTGATTTAAAATTTAAGCAATACTCGTCGACTGAAAATAATTTGCAGAATCTACGTCTGCAGCACTTTTTTCACCGTGTGCTTTTTTGAATATTATATTGTTCCGCTTTTTCCATCGGCTTAGCCAGCCCGTATTTGGATCGAAGTCTATATTTAATTTTACTGCAAACTTTTTAGCCTGTTCCATAATAAGCGGCCCACTAATAAATGCATTTTTATTTCTCATCTGTTCGAACCACAGGATTAGTGCCTTATCAATTTCTTCATTTTTTCCAGATCTTATTTTTTTTCTTAAAATATTTTTATTTTGTAGATCTAATTTTTTTAATTTGTTTTCCATGCCTGTGATTTTCGAAATCTTTGAAATATCACATCCATATTCAGCTGCCAGAAAT